CGGAGCTTACTGGCTTACATATTAATTATGAGAAGAGTGCTTTAATGCTTCCTAATCATATCCATAATCAGAGTGATATTTGCAATGCTCTTTCCATTCACAATATCACTAGCAAGATCTCTTATCTGGGCATCCCGCTTTCTTTTTATAGACTTAAAATAGAGGACTATATGCCTTTATTGGATAGCATTAACAGGAAATTTACTGGTTGGAAAGCTTCGCTGCTCTCTCTTGCGGGCAGGCTACAATACTTAAAATTTACTATCCAAAATACTATTGCTTATTGGATAAGGGGTGCTATTTTACCTAAAGCTATTCAAAAGTTTCTTAAAAAATCTAGCTCCAGATTTCTGTTTTTTGGGGATGTCAATTCTGCTAAGAAACTTCACATGATAGCTTGGGATAAGGTTTGTCTCCCTTACTCTAAAGGTGGTTTGGGTATTTCCTCTATTAAGGCTCTGCAATTTTCTTTTAATTGCTCTATTATACTTAGAATGTATAATTGCTCCAGTCCTTTAGCTGCTTGGATATTCAGAAAATACGGATCCCCTTGGAAGCCTTTGCCTTATGTTGCTTCCCCTTTTTGGAAATCTATTTGCAATACTGCTTTTATTGCTAAGCATTGCTTCAAATTCAGAATTGTGAAGTCTGCTCCTATTTCCCTTAAATGGGATCACTGGATTGATGATAGGAATGACACTGATCTGTTTGGCTTTGAGAATATTGCCTCTATTCCTGACATTGCTTTATCTAATATTATCTCTGATTCTGTGTGGGTTTTACCTGACTCCTTCTCTCCTAGCCTTTGTGCGGTTATCTCTGGTATTACTGGGATTGTGGGAGATGGACCCTGTTTGCTCTGGTATGGCAAGATTAAGAGCAAATTTAAAAATTATCTGAAGGAATTTTATTCGGAGAATACGAACTGTAGCTGGTATCGTATGGTTTGGCATAAAAGAAATGCATTGAAATATTCTGTGTTTGCTTGGATGGCACTTGTGGATGGTCTTAAAACAGCTGATGCGCTTAGACACAGGCAAATTTTTGTTCCCTCTCTTTGCCGTCTCTGCAATTCTGCGGATGAAACAGTTTCTCACCTTTTCTTTGATTGTAATTATTCCTT